GGGTGCTGGGGGGGGGGTGCTGGGGAGATGAAGGCCAGTCTGGTTGGCCCACCTCTCGGGCGCCTTAATATGGGCGGGCTCTGGACTTGGGAACCCCGTCTTCCCCCAGCACAGGCTCCCAGGTGACCCAGACCAGGCTGGGCATCCCTGTGCCCAGGCCCCCAGGTGGACCCCGCTGGCAGAACTTCCCAGGCTGAGAGGGGTGCTGGGGGGGGGGTGCTGGGGAGATGAAGGCCAGTCTGGTTGGCCCACCTCTCGGGCGCCTTAATATGGGCGGGCTCTGGACTTGGGAACCCCGTCTCTGGCTGTCCTGTGTCCCCTCCAAGCCCAGCGGGAGCGGCAGTGCCTCACTCTGGGCATCTGGGAGTTCAGTGTGAGCTAGGCCATCCCCACAGGCGCCCTCTAACCGGGTGGAGATGTGCACCGCCGTGCGCCAGGCCTCAAGGCAACAGTTTTCTCCACGTTCTGGACTCTTCTTTCTCTGCTTCCGTCTATGTGAGGCAGCCCACTCTCCTGTGCTCCCGGGTGTGCCGTTCTGGCTGGGCCAGGGCGGGGGTCTGGCCCCTACGTGGGTTCCCCCTTGTCCCCAGGAGCACAGTCCCCAGGCAGGGGTGTCAGTGAGCTCGGGAGCCGGTGCTGCTGCTCCTGGGAGCAAGGCCTGGGATCCTGTGAGAAGCCCGCAGGAGGCGGCCTCCCCGGACAGGACAGCGTCCCTGCCAGTTCCACACTCTGCTCCTGGTCTGTGGGGCGGAGGAGGGGGGAAGCCGGCTGGGGTCTCTGACCAGAGGCCGTCTCCTAAGCTGGAGGGTGGAACGTCATTTTGGGCTCCTGTTCCTATACCTCTGGGGTGCTGGGTGCGGGGTGGGGTGTGGGGTGCTGGGTGAGGGATACAAGGTACAGGGTGGGGTGCAGGGTGGAGTGCTGGGTGCGGGGTGGGGTGTGGGATGGAGTACTGGGTGCTGGGTGAGAGGTGGGGTGTGGGGTGCAGTGCGATGTGTGGGGTGCGGTGCGGGGTGTGGGTGCAGGGTGAGGGATACAAGGTACAGGGTGGGGAGCAGGGTGGAGTGCTGGGTGGGGGGTGGGGTGTGGGATGGAGTACTGGGTGCGGGGTGGGGTGCTGGGTACAGGATGGGGTAAAGAGTATGGGATACAGGGTGCAGGGTGGGGTGCTGGGTGCGGGGTGGGTGCGGGGTGTGGGGGCAGAGGATGAAAGAAACCAGCAGCGCTAGTCGGACCGTGTCATGCTCCTGGAGAGGTGCCGGCTGAGAGGGGGAGCAGCAGACCTGCGCCTGCACCCCGCTCACCCCACACGGGGGCGGGCGGCAGCCTTGCGCCATCTCTGAGCCGGTGCCTCATTTTGTACTTTGGGGCTAAAAACAGCCCTGCCCACCCGGGTTCCGTGTGAGGGTGAGTGAGACGCTGTCCCGAGGTGAAGGCGCAGGCTCCCCATTTCCTGTGGGCCCCGCAGCTTAAGCTCGCGGAGCCTCGCTCTCAGCGCCTGTCACATGCGAACAGGACCCCGCGCTTCGGCTTTGTAAGAACAGTGGGGCTCATACACCATCTCAGCGCATGGCTCTCAGAGTCCCCTGGGCACCGCATTCCCCGGACCTGAGCAATGCAGCTCGCCAGGCCCCGGTCTCGGCTCCAGAACCAGGACCCGCAGACGCCGGGCCACGCCGTCACTGTCCTCCGGGGACTCAGGCGAGGGGTCACTGCAATAACCTCTCAGGCCCTGGCTGGTGTGGCTCAGTGGATAGAGCGTTGGCCTGCGGACCAGAGGGTCCCAGTTCGATTCCGGTCAAGGGCATGTACCTCGGTTGCAGGCTCCTCCCTGGCCCTGGCCCTGGTCGGGCTTGTGCAGGAGGCAACCAATCGATGTGTTTCTCTCAGATTGATGTTTCTCTCTGCCTTTCCCTCTCTCTTCCACTCTCCCTAAAATCAATGGGAAAATATCCTCGGGTGAGGATTAACCAAAAAAAAAAAAAGCAAAACACACACAAAAAAACACACCTCTCAGACTAACTGGGACCCTGGTGGGCAGAGCCCGCGCTTCTAAAATGTAAGGGTGTCGGGGGTGGGGATGGACCGTAAGCGAGTCATCTCCCCGCCCCATGAGCGATGACAGGATGCGCTCATCACACGGGGGGGAGCCGTGCCGGCACATGGTGAGTGCTCAGTGCATCCGACAGCAGGTCCTCGGGTCATGCCAGTTCAGTGCGGCTGGAGACGACGTTAGCGAGATGCGTGGGAACGGCCTCCTGTGTCCATCCGCTGACCAGTGTAAACGGGTTTGTTCCGCTCGTTTCACTTGGAGTCTCAGAGCCGGGACGTAAAGCGAGGACTCACTGAGTCAGGCTGGTAGCAGCCCGGGCCTCCGGTGCTGTCTGTGAGCTTGAGGGAGAGCCCTCTGGCTTCAGAAACCATGATGCCGGGAAGCCGAGGGAGCCGGGAGCGGCCGCCGGGCTGCCAGCTGTCCTCGGCGCGACGCCCTGGTCACTTCCTGTCCCTGTTGCTCAGGCGCAGGAGGTGTCATTCCCGCCTGTGGGCACCTCGGAGGAAACTGGTCTGCGTGCGCTGCGAGGGAGGGAGTCGGATTGAAAAGGCCCCTCCTGAGCCGACTGGGGGAAAGAGAAGGCCAGCGACACACATTTACTTACTTACTTATGCATGGCAAGGATTTTACATTTTATTGTACTTAAAAAAATTTTTTTTTTGGTTAATCCTTGCCTGAGGATATTTTCCCATTGATTTTTAGAGAGAGTGGAAGAGAGAGGGAAAGACAGAGAAACATCGATGTGAGAGACACATTGATTGGTTGCCTCCTGCACAAGCCCCGACCAGGGCCCAGGCCGGGGAGGTGCCTGCAACCGAGGTACACGCCCTGGACCAGAATGGATCCCAGGAGCCTTCAGTCCACAGGCCGAGCTCTATCCACTGAGCAAACTGGCCAGGGCTATTGTACTTTTTCCATGACCATTAAATACTGCTGGGCTCTATGGCCAGAGTTTGGGGTTGCAGGACCTGTAAGGGTGAGGTTATGCAGTCATTTAGGGGTGGGCTGCCCAAGGGAAGCGGAGACTGAGGGCCTCGTTGCAATGGTTAGAAAAAGCTGTTCAGGACAGAACGGAGGCCCTTGCTGGCCCCGGCAGTGTGTCCTGGACCAGCGTTTACCAGGAGAAATAGCAACCAGGCTGGTTAGCTCTGGCTCGTGACGACCGACGGTGGGCCCAGGCAGGAGACCTGGCGGCGGCTGCAGCTCACGTTCACAATCCGGGCGAAAGGGGGACATAGAGCCCAGCAGGTGGTCGTTTCACGTCCAAACCCTCTCTCCAAACCACCTCCGGGGGCTTCCCTCAAACCGCGGGACAAAGCAAGGCCAGCGGCCTTTAAAACGCAGGCCCACCCCGGCGGCTGGGGGACAAGCATGGTCGGGGTGCGCCGGCAGGGCCGGGAGCCGGCCTGGGCTGAGAGGGTCTCCATCGGCCCAGCCACGGAACCGGGTCGGCTCAGCCAAGTCTCCTCCGTCTGGGGCCGTGGTGGTTCCGTCTCTACAGTGAAGCGGTGGGGTTAGCGGGTCTGTCCTGGTCCTTTAGCTTTGACATTCGTGGGGACGCCAGGCTGGAGGTCCGAGTGGTTGAGGGGAGCAGCGTCTGGGAGGGCGAGCCGGGGAGACGGGACAGGCGGCTGCGCTCAGCTGCCCATGACCCGAGTCTGACCCCTGGAGGTCGCGAGGCTCTGGGTGAGGCCGTGGCTCCTCTGAGCCTCGCTTCCCCCTGTGACATGTGGTTGTGACCCCAGCTCAGGGAGGAGGTGAGAATGACGCGCGTGCTCACGTGCATGCGCACCGAGCGAGGATCGGGCCCAGGTCAGAGAGGTGCTCTCAGGGGTCACTGGGAGGCTGTGGAGGCCCCCTCTGAGTCCGCACCCTCCTGACTCCAAGGACCATCTGATCTGGGGGCAAGGATGGGTGGCATCCAATGCCAACCCCCCCCCCACCTCGATGCACAGGGGGGTTTTCTCAAGGACTCTGCAGGGTAGCAGGAGGGCCCGTCCTCTGGTCCCCGAGGCCGGGGTGGTATGGATTCGCTGGTAAGTGGGTGTGGAGGTGGGGGATGGAGGGGACAGAGTGGGGCTGTGGGGTTGGGGGCGGGACGGGCTACCCAGGAGAGGGCTTCGCACCATCCCTCTTGCGTGATCCCGATGGTCTGATCATCAGGATTCTGCCCGCCCAGCGCTCTGCCCTGACTCTCCCTGAGCTGCTCGCTGCTGTGGTCGCTCTGCCAGCTGCTGCCCGGCCCGGACCACCGTTCCCACGCCCACCGCGCTCCATCCTGGCCCTGGGGGGCTCCGGGCTCCGGTGGAACAGGGTCCAGGACTGGACTGCATTTTCCCTTCTTTGCCGCAGGGACGCAAACAGAGGCAGCTGTTCTGGGGGAAATGGCTGTGGCACGTGGGACGGGCAGGGGCAGGGGGTGCATTTTCAGGGACTGTGCCCAGGCCATGGCAGGTTCAGGCTCAGCACCGGGCAGTGGCCTCATTTTCTTGGGTGGGGTGACCCCTAGTGGTCACTCGGAATGCCACCAGGGCTTAAGTGGTCCCGCCTTCAATCCCGCCCAGGCAAGGGGGTCGAACGGAGAAGGAAGGCTGGTGGCCCAGGCAGTGTCCATGGAAGTCAAGAGAACCATCTTCCTGCAGTTCCCGCCGAGGGTGACTGCACCCTGCCTGGCCGAGCCACCCCCTTCCCGGCCCTTCCTGAGCTCCAGCCTGGAGGTCTGCTTCGATTTGTTTATTTTTATATATAGTTTATTGATTGCAGAGAGAAAGGGAGAGGGAGAGAGAGAGAAACACTAGTGATGAGAGAAAATCATTGATCGGCTGCCTCCTGCACGCCCCACACTGGGGATCGAACCCTGACCTCCTGGTTCATAGGTCAGTGCTTATCCACTGAGCCACACAGGCCCAGCCCGAGGGCTTTGGTTAAGGGAGTGGTGCCCGCACAGGTCTCTTCCTGCTGCCCGCGTCCCTGGCGCTGGAGGTGTCGGTGGGGAAGGCCGCCACCATCTACGCCGTCAACGGCACGGAGGTCCTGCTGCCCTGCACCTTCTCCAGCTGCTTCGGCTTCCACAACCTGGCCTTCTCCTGGTCCTACAACAGCAGCGACGCCTACAGGGTCGT